AAATTACCTTAAAACATTTTTGTGCTCAATGTAAACAACTAAATTTCCCACCAAAAAGACATTTTACCCACCATGCAAAGCAAACGTAACTGCTTAGAACAAGTAACCTCGACATATATGTAAGATTTAGTGCAGATGTAGAAAGTTTACTGAGAGGCTCGGATGCAAAGGTGGATCTCAGGATTTGAAGAACTCATGTTGAATCTGTCTAATCTTAATTGATCAGAAATTTTATTTTTTTTATCCATCTCTAAATCTCACATACTCTATCATTGTGTATTGATTGTTTGATTTTGGCTCGGCGTATTCAGCACATGATCCTACAGTATAAAACCAAGAGGCTCTGTCACATTCTGACCACTGCAGATCAGAGCAGCTGAACTGTGCTGCTAAAAGAAAACCAAAGTGGAGCACAAAAGTGTTAATTTATTTTAAACTTTTTGTGAAAACACGCAGCAGATGGTGTGGAGTGAGAGATGGCGAGAGATGCTAAAGCAACAGAGGGAGTTGTTAGATTCAGCCAGACCTGTAATGGATGGAACAAACCTCTGACTGTTTAAAACCCTGTCTGTACTACACGTGGATGGGGCTGAATAAACGGTTTCAAAACAAAAACATTAGGTAGTTTCAGGACAAATCAGCTGTTTGTATTTTTGAAAATGTGTTTGTGTTTTCAGCGTTCAGAGATCAAACAGCTAGAAGGTGAAGTGTTCAGGGACCACTGTCAGTACCCTGGACAAAGAAAAACCACCATTTTCATCACCAACAGGTACAGACCCTCAGAAACATCCATTAATAGTTGTTATTGCAGATGTCCATGTTGCTGTTGTTGCACAGTGTTATTTACCATTTCTATTGTTGTGCAGGAGGGTCATGTGTGTGAAGGAGATCGACTTTGTGGGTCATTTTAGTAAAGAGTGGGAGTGTTTGTTTGAGAACTTCTATTGTCCTCCAGTTGTGAAGGGATCTGACCTGGAGCTCCACTGCAAGGTACCAAAACAAACTCAGAAAAGTTGGATTCAGTCATCCAAGATAAGTGTGCCCTCAGCAGGTTTCTGATTAGTTACCCAAATGTCTAAGGAGAGTTTAATATGTACATAAGGTGAAAATGTGAGGAGATGGAGGCAAAAAATTGTGGTGTTAAATTGTTTTATAGCAGCATTTCAGTTACTCTGGTTATGTTAACATAGTTAAATACTATTGAACAACATTTTTAAATGTGTAGGCATAATAGATGTCTAAAACTCATTTTAACCTCAACTCCAACTGCAAATAACCTAAATCATTATTGCTGGATCACCCTATAGAGAATGATCCAAATAAATGGAGGATATGTCTTACCTGTTTCGATTCATCTTCTGCTGCCACCAGCGTTTTGTCCCTGTCAACCTACAGCTGAGAACAGCCTATTTAAATAAATCAGGTTTTCTGGAACCAAAAGCTCAAAGTTTCCCATCTCAGGGTTAGCCAGCTTGCAGTTCAGAGTTTGTTGAGCCAACATCCTGGAATAACCTCTAGGAATATCTAGATAGAAATTTTTTTATTTCACTTTGAGAATCCTGTTCCCCTTCAGCACCCAGCTGGATGGGTGAACAGTCTACATTGTCAGCTGAGAAATAAACAGAAAATAAATCTGAGATCAACTCGAGATGAAACTACAGAATTTAACTGAGACACACCTGTGTTGATTCTGACAAACTGATGCTTGTGGTGATGAAACACTGATGTTTCATATTGAATTTAGTTTTCCTCACTAGCATCACATTGTGTCAGGACAAAATCAGCCAATCGTCAGACACTAACAGGATGCTGTTTGATGGTTTTTTTCTCTTTGGGTCTCAGGAGCAGCAGATGCTGAAGCTGCCAAAAAGAATTGAGACGTCAGTCAGGACTCTTCAGCTAAGAGACCCACAAACTGCTCAGGTATGTATGTGTGCATGTGTCAGTGTTTACTTTGTATATGGCTCTGCTCTCACCTGGTCGCTACGGTTACCTACAGAAGCTGCAGGTGATGATAACAGAGGCTCAGGTGGCTCAGCAGCAGCACTGCATGGTGAGACAGAAGTCACAGCGCTTCCTGAAGCCGAACAGCAAACAGTGAGGTCACTTCTGGTCAGCAGCACTTGGTTAAATTTGTGTGATAAAATAAAAGGATATGTGTAAAATGTGGGACTGTTTCTTTAAGAAATAAAAACTGAATCAAACTGACTTCTTGTTCACACAAACACCTGCTCAGGTGGAACTGTCCAGTCATTTAATATTTTTTTTAATTTTTTTTATGACTGTATTTTGAGGGTTGTGGTTATTTTGCTTCCTGCTGTTTGCCTGCACACTGCAGTGTCACATGGTTTAACATGAAACCACAAAAACATGTTGCACTAGAAGAACATCTAAAGAAACCAGTGTGCTGATGATGCATGTATGCTGCTGTTCATCTTCAGCGAGTTAAACACAAGAAGATGTAAAGAATTTCAATACATAAAGTTGACATGTTCTGTAAATTCTCTAATTGTTGATTCCCTTTGATTCATCAGTGTAATTAGTTCCAGCCAAGCTTGACAAAAAAAAAAACTTTCTTTGATTAATTGTGAGTTTTACCTGCAGATTGAAGGGACTGAATTGATTGGATGAAAGTGTTTCTCAGGAAGATAAGACATGTTTACGTGTGAAGTCAGTATGGTTTAAACATGATGCTGAATGACATTTGACTGTTTTTGTCTTCATATTGATGTCTGTATCAAACTAGAAGTTTGAAGAAAATAAAATACTTTGTGGCTGGAAAACAGACCTGAGCTGTAACCAGAATCATTCTAAATAAAGATGACATTTAATTGCAGCTACTGGGCAGTTTTTTTTAAGTGTACTTCGCAGTCAGAGTGAGACATCACCAGCTGTACTCACAGAACATAACAGTTGATAAAGATGCTCATCAGATCATTAAAATCAATTTCATTTGTACAGCGCCAAATCACAACCAACGTTGTCTCAGGACACTTTACAAAGTCAGGTCTAGACTTTACTGTTATTATTACCGAGGAAAAACCCAACCAATTCCCCCCTGAGCAGCACTTGGCGACAGACGTCAAGACATGGGGAATAATACAGATCAGCATGTTATCACTCTCCCTGTCATATATTCAAGATTCAAGATAATAATATATAAGAACATCATTAAACTGTTGGACCCTGAGAACAAGCTGAACCTTTTGGTTTGGTGACGTTTCATTAAATTGGGATTGGGTCTAATAGGAGTGTTTCTGATTTCCTGTTGGAAAATGTCCTTTGCGACTGCAGGATTTTTATCTGCCCCCTGCTCTTGTCACCTTTCCACCTGCAGTTCATCTCGAAGCCCATTGTTAGAGGTAGTCTTGTACAGTGCTACTTGTTTTTGTGTGTGTGTGTTTTTAATTAGGATTGAGCTTTCTGTTGTTTATGTTGAACTGTAGAAATAAACATGAAATATTTTTTTTAAATGTTTGTTTTAGTTCTCAAGTGACATTTCCTGGTTTTCAAACACAAACTTGACACTAACAAGGCCCTCCACCTGGACCCCTCCTACCCTCCAGATGCATAAATATGTGGAGTTTGGGGCAAAGAGATTATTCAGAATCAGAATACTTTATTCATTCCAAAAGGACAGATCATTTATACAGACCACCCATTAAGAGAAATGATGTCAACATAATCATCAAACAACAAGCCGGTGGCAACAGGTACAATGATAAGCAGCTACTAAGAGGAAGGAGTCACTTCCCTGTTACTGCGGGAAAGCCTGACATTATGTCAGTATGTAGCAGCCTGATCGCAGAAGAATTTTGCATATGCATTTGTTTTCTGTGCTGGTGCATAATAGCACCAACACGAAGGCACAATTACAAAGTCCTTGATCAAAATGTGGTCAGGTTGACTTAATATCCTCTCTGCTTCCTTGACGACTTCTCTCCTTTAAAGTGAGCACAGCTCTTTTTGTTGGACTCCAGTAATCTTGGAGCAGACCTTAGCTGCATATTTAAATCATACTGACTTCACATGTAAACATAAGCAGTTTTTGTCTTTCACAGACAGGCCATTGTACCAACCCAAAAATGAAAAGTTTAAAAGACCCTCAAAATATGATAAAGTTTGCATAAAATTACCTTGCAGACACCAAAAGAGTTCAGCTTCTGAAGCAAATTGATGCGCTGATAACCTTGTCATAAGATGTGTGGACAGCTGCTGTGAAGAAACTGTCCACATATCTTATGACAAAGGGGTGAAGTGCATTTTATTTAGCTACATATAGTTATTTCAGTTTGAGTTGCCTCCAAATGTGTCACAATGGAGAGAAGAGGTTTAATCTTTCACAGGAGGTGATTCAAAGAAGTTTATAATTGAAACATTGCTCAGAAACAAGTGGCAGGATCATTTTAACAGATGTCTCCTAAATGTTTTTACACTTCAAATACATGCCATGTTTTTATTATTTTGGGTGTCTGACAACAGACTGCAGTCTTTACATACTGTACTTTAATATAGTGTTGTAAAAAAACAAACAGTAAGCTGATGCAGTCTGAGAGGTTTACTGTCAAGTCAAAGTTATTATAGGACCACAACTTATTTAAGCAAAAAAAAAAAAATCTCCAAAAGTACAGCAATGAATAAAATGTAAAAAAAAAAAAACAAATCACTGTGTTTCAGTGAAACTACAGCTGCCGTTGTCATTCTCTGAACCTTATAGATTGTACCACTCCTGTGTTTCAGGTTGTGTGCTCTTTCTATGTACACTAGATTGTCAGCAGCACCCGATGCTCTGCAATGACTGTTTCTTCCAGCTGTTTCATTGTCCATTTTGCGTCAAAGCTTAGTAACATGTGCACAATCATTCTGTTCAGAGATTATTGCTAATGGTCGGGTGATTTTTGCGATAGGACTTATAATTTCTCTTTATTAGTCCATTGCCTGAAGCCCATTTTTCACTCATATTTGCTGCTGTTCTCAAAATGCGTCTCTTAACCACCTAACACTGCAAACACACACCTACACACTTGTTTTCCCTACTACGTAGGGATTGCTCACACACACGTTTGTTTTCGCTACTTTGTGAGGCCTGCTGACACAACTTCAGCTTTTGATTTTATCTTAAATACAGTAATTATTCAACTTTTTCTTTTCATCTTTCATAATTATTCAACATTTTTTTCAACTTCCACAATTGTTCTGCATTGCATCTCATCCTTCAGATATTTCCACAGAGAACTTCAGCCATTTCTTCTCATCCTAAAGCTGTTTCAGCAATTGATTTCAGACATTTTCAGGGCGATCCTTCAGCATATCAGCATCCATACGCATTTTCGACAGGAAATACATTTCTATAGTTTCTTCTGTAATATAAAAGAAACCTTTGACAGACTGACCTTCCCTGCAATGTTAGAAATTAACCCAATTCTTT